GGTCCTTTCCAACCCATTCTGTAATCAAGACCACTGTCATGAGGGGACAGAAAGCCTGCTGAAATTGAGACTGCAATGTATAGCTTAAAGACATCAATATGAAGTATCAAATTTATCTTGATCTTTTCATGAGAGGGCAGACTTTAAACTTGAGGTTGTTTTTGTTCTCTGAGTTGGAAATATATGTTAACATACCTGCCTTTGAGTTTTCCCTTATTTAGCCACAGCTGTAGCTCTCAAATACAGGAGTCTCACCATCCTTTGGTTTTAAGCCATTTTTGGTTTGCTTTTGCTAGCTTGCTTTCCCTCCTATCTGGATGGAGTACACCTGCTTGAACCAAGGCCTGCAGTACTGCTGCCTGGAATGCTGTTATCTTGGTCAGATGATGGCACACACTGTACAGCAATCTGGCCTTGTTATCACCTCGTGCTTCAGCAGCCTTTAAGCACCTTAGCAGATGCTTTTTTATACTGCCTCCCTGCCCATGGCAGGGGGGTCCTTAGCAGATGCTTTTTCATACTGCCTACATTCTAACATAAGGTTATTCTTTCAGCGACTGTAGCCCAGTTTGAGAATTTACTGAACATCTTCCAAGGGTCCTCCCTTATTCTTAAGAAAATTTTAATCTTAATATTAGTCCACTGTCCAAAACATCACAGAACAATTCCTTGCTCTTATTTCCCTTTCAAGTAGATGCAATTCCTTGCTCTTATCCCCATTTCAAGTGGTTGCTTTTCTACAAGTTTAAAGCCAGTCTGGCTTTACTTCTTTGCCCTTACAGGTTGCTTATGAAAGAAAAAAAAGCACCAGCATACCACGCAGGCTTTTTGGTGCCATACTCATGCTTTATTTAAAAAAAAAGCTACACAATGCTAAGAAAAAAAATCAAAGTTTACTTTACAAAAAAAACCTGCAGCCATTTTCAAGAGACCTGATCTCACTTTTACTCAAAGTCAGCAGGCAAGAAAGTAAATGTTAAATTAACACTTCTGTTGCAGTACATCATCTGAACTTAATCACCCAAAACAACCAGTCATTCTTAAACTGACTGTTGATTGCATCTATGCAAACAATCATCTATAGCAACTGATTAAAAGAAATCCCTGGGAAAACTTAGAGAGAAATGGAGAAGTGTCAGAGGAATGCTTTTTAGCCCATCTACACTCTCACAGAAACATCTTTCTGGCTCTGTCTCCTCTGTACATTAATTGCAATTCCTCTGTGTTGAAGAAAAACCCCAGTATAAAAGCTGCTAAGGCCTGTTCAGCGAGGGCATTAAACTGGTATAACATGAATCTACGTAGTTACCATGAAGTTACACTAGTGCTATGTCTTACTAGCTCCATGGAAGCACACTGTGCAAGTCTCCAGTAACTTCAGAACACTCCTGAAACAGCCCTTGTGTCACTCCTATGAGGTAGGTACTGCCCTTCCCTTGGAGAACAGACTCTCAGCTGCTGCTCAGTACACCAGACACAAGGAAAGGCAGGCTGACCAGCCTGTTAGTATTTGACTTTCCTGCTGCTTCCCTGAATTCAGAGCTTTCAACTCTAACATTGTGTAGCACCAAGCATTCCAGCAGAAACAGTGAATGATGCTTCTAACTACAGCCACTCCAAGCCAGGGAAGAGGTCCAGCTTAACTGTTTTGAAACAAGCAGAAGCAATGCCATCCCTAGTCTGCTCCATTCCTCTCCAAGGCCTCCAGCTTCATTATTTTGTACACCAAGAGCAGGATGAAGACTCATCTCTCCACAGTCTGGCTGCAGCTGCTCTTCTCTCAGATTAAGTAACTGGGAAAACATGAACTGCTCTCACAAAGCAGACAGCATACAGAGGGCTGTGAGTATCAAACACAGTTCAAATGTAGCTAAATTAATGCTTTGTAGACATGAACACTAAAGCAGTTTTTCTTACCCCAAATATAGACTCATTAAGTCTTCTGAGTTTTTGGAATTAGGGGAGCTGTGAGAAAGGAATTCACAGTGGTCCTTCACACTAAAGCTGTAGTTTCTTTTGCAGTCCAAAACTACTGGTAGGATCTCTTACTAAGAAGGAAGAAACCTTAGTTCACATCACCTTTCCGAGTCCTTGCTCCTCACCCCATAACCTCACAGGGGCAGTTGTGTGGTAGCATAGCAAGCTTGCTGAAAACCAGGCTGGCAAGAACACTGGGCTATACAAATGCTCGTGCTACCAGGGGGGAAGGAGTGGCAGACACCAGCAGGATTGCTACTTGTTCCATCTGAAAGGAAGCTATACCCTACACAGCAGACAGTGATGATGCCCAGTAACACACCTGTGACACTACATGACATGTATATGTTTAAAAGCAGAGTGGGAAACTCACAAACCAAAAAAAAAGTTGCTTTATCCTGTTGGCTGCCACCACCACCACTGGGCTCTTGCCTGAATCTGTGCAGTAGCTTGGCTTACTCCCTAGAAACAGTGGAAGGGACATCCAGGTTCAGCTGTCACTACCCACCCAAACGTACCCACTGAATTTCAACTACAGCAAATGAGCAGGAAACTGTTACTTCATTTGTCAGGAGCAGCAGCTGATTGTTGGCTGGAGTTCTCCTAGCCAAGGAAGTTCCTATGAACCACCTGGAGTGAATGTCAAGTTGTGGGATCCAAGGAGGTCTTGCTACAACTGGACTTCCCCACTGCTAGTTCCTATGCAAGTTGCTAAACTGCCTCTTCTCTTCTTCCAAGCTTGGAATGAAGCATCTGGCTGTTAACCACAGAGTGCAGAGAAGAAAGCTGAAACCTTAAAATACTTATATTTTTTTGTGCAGTGCTTCAGTCCTTGAGCTTAAGTGTAAGAATTCTAAAGGGCTAATTTGCTTCAAAACTCAATCAGTAAAGGCTAAACTAATTTCTCTGAGCAAGTAAAAACTAGATTATTAAAAATCGGTATCCTCTTCTGCTCCTTTGGCTTTTTTCCTGGAGTACCACTGTATCTAGAGCAGCTCTAATCATCACCCCCTCAAAGAAGTGCCTTCCCACCTCGGGAAGGATTCAAGTATACAGTCTAAGATTACCTATTACCAGAAGGCGAAGAACACCCCAAACTCTTGATTTCATGTTAGAGACATAACTGCTAGGTCCCCTCTCTTGGGTTCAGTACATCAGGTGCTGCAGTAGCTACAGAGCTAATACAAAGCATTTAATGAACACTTTGTTGCATCAATGCAAGAACATGAGCTCATAAACCTCAGCTGAGATGTAGAGGGTCAGTTTGCTGCCATTCAAGTACCTGGACAAGGCTTGAACTGCTTGCATCGCCTGCTCTTTTTACTCTCAGTTAAACTCCTGAACGCCGTGGAAGCGGATTAATACCTCAGCTCCCCCGTGACCACATAAACCTGTGCCTGACACAAAAGAAAATCCCATTTTGACTGCGTTAGGCTTTTCTGCTCCAGTACGGAACTGACACATAGGAGGGTTCCTGGTAGGAAAGGTGAGATGACGACTCAGACCAGCAGACTGACCTGAGGAAAGAAGCTGGAGGTTTAACAAAAAAAAAACAACCAAAACAAAACAGCAAAAGGGTGAATTAAATAGTTTGCTGTTTGAGAGGGTTACTCAAAGCCAAGATTTTTCTCAAATTCAGTTTCAAGTGCGTACAGTAAAAGCACCTGCCCCAGGAAAAGCTTTAAGAAAAGCTGACGTTTTCATACACGACATTCCGCTTTTTGTGAGCGAACCAAGAACTTGCTGAAGAGTCATTCTGGCTTGCTCAATAATTTCTTAAGTAAACACGGCTATACCCAGAATACCCAAGCTGCTGGCACGACTCAATAACTAACCATTTAACAAGTTGGGTATAAAAAAAAGAAATTTATGTAGCAATACCAATTCAGCACACAAATCCCACGCTTCACAAGTTCCACTGCTGTGCAAGAGTCCTCCTAACACCTACGCAGGTACGCTCAGGTTAAGTCGCCGCGTGCCCAGATCCAAACAGCGGCAAAACATCTACTCCTACGAGCGGCGAGACCCAACTTGTGCCTATCAGAACGCAGGCTACGCAGAAATCCAAGGTGGCCGGCGCCTCGCCGCTGGAATGGGACCACGCACGCAGACGGCAGCCGTACGTGCGTGCTGCAGAGACTGAGGTTGCTTACTGAAAGGGGAAAATGCATAGAGATTCGATACAGACAGGGTACAATCAAGACAGATGAAGACACCAGACATTCAGATTTTGGGAAGGAGAAGAACCCTTCAAGGACAGCGTACAGGTGACAAGCCAGCCTTACAGAGAACTCTAAAGGCACATTTCGGGTAACATGGTTCTGTTCAGACCAACTGCTTACACACGCAGGCACAAATCTTAATGGCTACCTCCCCCCCACCCCCCCAACAATTAACAAGAGAAGTGCATTTTCAGTAATATTAACACCATTCTGTCCAGTCCAAATATTTAGCAGTATTTTCCTTATGGTGATACGGATTCTCTGCACTACTCCAATCCAAAAACAAACAACCAAACAGGCAGGATTAGTAAAGGTTCAACTGTTGCACTAGTTAACATTTACTCATCAGAGCCCACTGATCTCTTCTGTGCCCTCTTGTAGGGCAACCTCCTCGGTGAAGCTTTATCTAGATTAAAAAAAAAAAAGATAGTTGTAACAACTGCTACAGTTTTTTCAGATTAAATGTTAAATGACAGTGTCTTTTTCACACTCATGAGCCAAACTGCCCTTCTAGTGCAATGCATCGTTAACAGAGAAGCCAGTTCAAACAACCTGTCAGCGCTTTTTAACCATCAGCATCTTACAGAGAAGGTAACCAAAAAGGAACCTTCCTGTTCTCCTGGACATGCAGCTCCAGGGTGAGGGTTGTTCCATTTGCCAGTTACTAAAATGCAAAAAAAACCAATCCCCCACCCCCCCAAAAAACCCAACCAAACCTCACACCATCTCATGATGAAACTGCATGCTCAAAGAAAAACCTCATATTCAATAATTACATTTTTAGAAAGTTCATTATTTTATCATTACTGATTTGAGTTTTCCTGCCTGAAGAGTAGGTGAGTGACCCTCCTTTAGGCAGCTTTGTCTTGCTTGACACGTTTCCACATCCATTCAGCCTAACAGCAGATGAGTGTTTTGGTTGTGAAACCACACGCTTTTCCAAAAAGCATCCACGCTCGACTATGACATCACTCTGTGATCAGATAACCCATGGAGGGGAAGCCAGCCAGCTTTAGCTGTATGACTGCTGGATGCCAGAAGCACCACCCCACATTTCTGTGACAGGCCTGTAGCTGTCCTTTACAGTGATGGCCCGTAGTATGTAGGATTTTTGTTCTTTGTAGCGTTGTGGAGACCCTACGACACTTCGTATGAAGAAAGAATGATTGCCGAGCATATCTGCAGACTTAAAAACGCACGTTTGTCAAACGGCCACCTCCAATAATTCCGCTCTTCAGAGTATGTGTGAACACAAGGAGCAGCCACTGTGCCATTACAAGCCCATCGGTACAGAACAAACTCTCTCTCAACAATGACACAGTCAAGACCCTCTGAGGATCCTGAAGGCGATGTATTTCAAAGGCTTCTAGTGCAGACTTCTAATCAAAACTAACCTGGAGCTAAAGAAAACCACAATTAAGAACTTAAACATTGTATTTTCCTAGACTTCAGGCATTAAGATAGGAATACCTACTTTGCATAAGAAAGGGATGGGGGGGACAGGACCCAAACCCTGCCCGGATTCAAACCCATTTAAAGGCAGCTTGCTCTTGGGGAAAAAAAACCTAGCTTTTACAGCTGCAGTCTTTCTGGACAGAGCAAGGCTTTTCAAATTCCTGTGTCTCAGGTGTTACACCAGCATTCTTGTGCCTTGCTGAGGACTGCATACACGGAAGTAACCAGTCTTATACTTTCAGACGTAGAACACCAGTCCTTACACCTAAATAAGTACAGTTAAGAAGGGTGAAGGAATCAAAAAAGTGAAATCATCAACTCCTGGCACAACTACATATCAGAGCTAAGGCCTCTAGCCCTTCTACGCCAAATAAAAGCTCAGAATATGCTTATTTCACCAAAACAGGAATCTTGTCCAAGCAAACAACATTTCTGCGAAGGGTTTTCAAAGCACTTCTCTTGTCTAGGCTGGACTTTAAGTGAGGCACCCTCTCCTCACACCAGCCAATGCTCCTGGTGACAGGAATTCACCTGGGATAAGGAGAATAAGCCTGACTATCAAACTATCATAATCAAGGCTGAGGTTTGTTTCTCACTGAAACAAGACATGCACAGGCATCGGTCACAATCAGCCCTCCACCTCCCTCACCTAACATCAGCTTGGTGCTAGGCCAAGGTAGCAGGGAAGGCAAGATACACACCTATACTTTCGATGAAAGATTCTGGGAACTGTCAGAGGAGACAACAGTGCTTCAGCAATGTTCTACTGACACTACGTTACCACAGCATAACCAGATAATGTATACACACATAGGCATTTAGGTTTTCCTGTATTACATATATGTATATAAAGCGTGGTTGCATGTTTTACTGCTCATGCTATGTCAGCGATCACTGCATGCAGGAAGCTGTACTTCAATCCATGCCCAATTATCACATGGACACCACCACGTTAAGCACTTTCACTCTTTTCCATCACCAGTTTGCCTCACCTCTTCTACTCTGCACTGAAGCCATGGGAAAGCGAAACAGAAGAAAGAGCAAGAGAAGTTAGCAATATCCACAAACACACAAGTGGTCTAAAGAAATCAGATAGTGGGTTTACTGTTGGCATTTTGGGTATCAAGTGAGAACCTGTGTCACTTTGGACTGGTGAACGGCTTAATAACGACACTTCATGTGGCTGTAGTTAAACACTTCCAATACTCATTTAAAACTTTGGTCTATAGGCAAACTTCCAAACAACTTACAGAAACTTTGAGATAATAGATATTTTCTCCTATTTAAATCTCCTTTGTGATCCAGGTTTTGAGTAGAGAGCTTTTACTGTTGAAAAAAGAGTCTACAGAACAAGTTGTAAAAGTCACTAACAGTCATTATTGTATGGACCAGTGAAGTCTGTTCTGTACAAGAACAGGCTGCTAGCGTAACAGTCTAATCATTAGGCAGAGTGCTTCAGACAGCTGCTTATTCCCTAGAAGGAGATGTATGCTGTTCCGAGAAACCAGTATTAGCTACTTACTTTGTTACAACTAAGCGAATCACTAAGTTGGTTACGCTCTGGTTTGCAGAAGGCAGACTACTTACTTATCTGATTTAAAGTTTCTTGGGGAATCCAGCTCATGTCAACATCATTCTGATTTGATGTTCCCATCTCTACTTTCTGTACCGGTCTTTTCCTCTGAAAATTCAAGAAAGCAAGCTTTTTTTCTTTCCACAAAGTTTTGAAAGCACAAGTATTAGAAGTAATTAATAATGCTACATTTAATGAATTGCAATTATTTGACTAAAACACAAGCTTCAATGTATGAAGCTGTCTTTGCAGCTTAGCTTTAACCTTCATCTTTACCATTAGCAATTATTCACCCAACCTTGGCATTACCACTTCTAACACCTCCACACCAAGATAGCAAGATTTCATGCATGCCTGGGCAAGTTCATCATGCCTGTTACGAAAAACGGCTGATTAATCAAACTTTGTGATGACTGGTTTCGCCACACTGTCTCAGATTAGCGCAATATTCTGGCATGTCACCTTGAAAAATGGGTTTCGGAGCACAGTAACCATTCCATACTTCTTCCCGAAGGATGGTACTTCAAAAGTATCCTAAGCCAGACTGCATGAAGACATTTAACCTATGCACTGCATGCAGATCAGACTTAACCTTTCAGTGGCTCTTATTAGGCAGCCCAGACAAACCCACAGCTGTTAGAGCATTACAAATGGAATCCAAAAGGCCCTTATCGACACTATGGCAGAGCACCAATAAGCAGCAAATAAAGGACTAGACAGCTGTTTTCCCCAAAGTTTGACCTAGATTAAACTCAGAGATAGAGAGCACAGGGAAAGTCTACTCAGTAAGTTTTGAATCAGTAGCTGCACACATCCAGCGACTGGAAGGTAGCAACACTTCCAGTTCAGCCTTCAGTGTGGTGCCCAAGAGCACATCCAAAGAGCATTAGGCAAGAAATCCAAGTGTCTCTAGTTATGAACATTTTTTAAAAACTCAAATCTGGTTTTCCCAGTAATTTCGAAGGTCGTAGTTCCAAAAGTAAGTTTTCTGAAGTTCTACCTGTACCATGGTATGCCAGAAGAAATTACTGAATTGCTTTCTTTTCATATCAGAAAGGTCTTGTATTAACAAGTGCACAGACATATTACACTACCCACCTTCCTAGATTCTAGTAGCTGATGTAGGCCAACAATGACAAGCAGACCGAGTCCAGCGAGGAACATGTACATGAAGATCCTGTAAAAAGACAGTTTAAGAAACCACTAGCTAAAAATGTTAAGTGATTGAGAGTTTACAGAGAGGCACAAAAACTAAGCCTAGCTTTGGCCATGTGCCTACTTATCTTTCCCAAGATCTTCTGTAGGGGGTGGGTGGAGAAAAAAAACAATGCACCTGAAACTGAAGTGCTAACCTCTTTCAGAAACCGTAATCCTAAATTACGGTTTAGTGCCAAACGGAACATTTGAAAAATGCCATATAAACAGGGAAACTGTTATAAATAATTGTTGAAACTGCAAGAACTCTTTTACAGTATGACATTTCAAGATGTTGGGTCACAGGTAATATTGATGCTTGTGACAGCTTTAACCACTTACAAAGCCCTCAAAAATCTTAAATGCTTTTAGTATGCGACGGCAAAGCACGCGCTGCTAGCCTGCTAATTCAATGGCAACAGAACTTTGAAAGACCTTGCTTACCTCCCTGTGTTCCATGGTTAGAATTCTACCTGTGCAAACAATCTTTTTTTTTTTAAATCTGTGCATTTTGGTTTCTTTTGAAGAACTCTACCCAAAATTCCTGTTGATGTTTAGCAAGAGGTAAACAAACTATATCTGAAATTAATTCGGGGAGCAGGCAGCAATTTACAGGTTAAAAAAAAAAATCTATTCCAAATCAAACATCTTAAGTCTCTTCTCTAGTTTACTCCATAATTTCCTTTGCCATAAATCTGAGTTAAGGGAAACACCCCTGTTTTAGCATAATTATCTATTCACAGGACATTAACTCAAACTGGCTCTAGTAATTTGATTTCTTCTGAGAGCTCTTTATCAGTGTGTGTGTATACATATATCACACATTGTCATGTGACCAGTTGTTAATTCACATTCCTCAAAAGAACACAACAGCTATTTCTTTTGGTTACCCTTTTTAAAAAAGGTAGGAATTTCAGCCTGTGGCAGGAGGATTCAAATATTCAGCACTGTCTAAATTTCTGAGGATTTGGGGTTTTTTTAAACTCACAGGTTCTCTTAAAATCCCACTCCAGTATTTCGAAGCCTATCAGCACAGCATAGTCCTGCAACATATAAGGTGTGCCAGATACTCAGTCTTTAAGACAGGAAAACCACACTCCTGGAAGTTAACTGCTACAGATAGTGGTTAGTGCAACAAGGAATGAGTGCGAGTTCCTCTTTCTCAAACTGAAAGGTGTATTTGGAGTATATGTATTCTTGGATTATACTGGAATGCTCAGAAGCGAGTGATTCCAGTCTTCACTGTAGGACCCACAGTACAGTACTATGGACCCTCAAGATCTTTAAATCTGGAGGGGGGGGGGAAATCACTGCAGCCTAACAAAAGCTTAACAGTTTTGGATAGTTACATAACTGTGAAACATCAGGTCCTATTCCAGGCTTAAGCCCTCTGAGCCAAAGCAGATGTGTAAACTGCTCCTTGACTTCTTATTAATCCTGAAGATCCCTAGTATTAATACAGATATTTTGGTGAAGAAGTTATTTTCAGTCTATCAACATCGTACAAGTCAAACGCCTGCCACAGCATCTGCCAAACACAGCAGACCTAATGTTCAGTAAAATGAGGACACAGGAATAATTCTCACTGGCACCCATCAATAGCCTGCTCCACCAGTGTACGAACTAAACTGAAATCTCCAGCCTCCTTACGTTTCTCCATCCAGCCCATCTTCTTTTTCAATAATTGTAACAGTTTGATTGAAGACAGCATCTTGAAACACATTACCCTGTAACAAAATGTTTCCACATAACATTTAAAAGTCACTTCTTGAACACATACAAATATGTTTACTTTTTTCCATGTTCTTGGAAAAGCTCTGTAATACAGTAGTAAGTCCTGCATAAGGCCTGATTAAGTTTGTAAGCAGTGCAAGTTTGACTCAACACTTAAGAGCGCAAACTTTTCGCTGCGAGTGGGAAGAGAGGTCTCAATCCCAGCAAGAAAGCCCCATCCAGCCTTCAATATGTTACTTCCTACAGCCTGAGATATTACAAACAAAGGGTTCTTCAGCCAACCCTTCAAACGAAGGTACAGAAGGCTGTTAAGCTCTGACCTGCACTAAAAGAGGAAAACTTCCCTATTTTAATTTATGCTTTGGATAGTCTTCCCCCAGATTGCAACTACTGGTCATTTATTCACCCCAAGCCAAGTTTGCAGATGGGATTCGGGCTGACGGTTAACTTCGTTAGCAAAGCCCAGTCTGAAAAGCAGAGTGAGATCTAAGTTATCCTAAGGAAAGCTTTAGGTTTTTGGGTTTTCTTTTCTTTTTAATGAGTACAGCCCACTACTACACAGTTCCAAGGCATTCTAGCTTCCACTGCCAACATAACTTTGAACATACACAGAACTAACAGTGTACACTGCGCAACGTGTAGACAGTTGCTTACTGTGCTTATGTATCTACTTATTTGCTTAAAAACCACAAAAGCATTCACTTTCTGAAGAAGCCGTAACACGACTAAGCAGTTCCTTCCTGACGTTTCCTCATCAGCTAGAGAGATTAAAACACATTACAACATCAGGCTTACATTTACATCTCTGTAGTTGAGGTTGATAACCAGTCCGAAAGGGCGACCGCCCATAGGCTCGGCAGGGATGAAAGAGTACTCAAACGTGGCTTGTCTCTGCGGCGGCACTACTGTGTTCAGAGGGAGAGCTGTGAAGTTCTGGATGTAAAACTGGTAGTCCTGAGGGTACCGGAAAGAAGCATCGAGAGACTCGACAATAAAATCTTCTGTACCCTTATTGGTGAAGCCCACTAGAAATTTTACGATGTTGTTCGCTGGAAAGTCTAAAACACAAGATATTCAACCATCAGACACTTCATACACCACACCTAGCCTGTTTCTAAACAGAGAGTGTCTAGAACAGGTTCTGGTTCTTTTAGAGCACCACTGGTTTATGCACACAGCGATACAGCCCAAGCAACAGTAAAGAAGATGGTAGATTAGCACAGGACTCTTACCTTCACCTTTCACAAATAAGATGGTTGTATCAGCACTGGGGGAGGCTTTAGGTTCTCCTGACAAGTCTTCTTCCTCTTTTTCTTCTGTCTAAGACAAGAGACTTTTTTTCAAAAACAATCCTATAGTGAACAGTGAAGCAAAGACCATACCTGCTTCACGAGAACCCCACGTATCAAAGCACGGAACAACGGCAAGCGTTCGCATCAATCGCTGCTGTCGCAGGGTTAGCATGTCATCTGTTCTCCCTCTAGATTTGGTTAGCATCAGTGTCGGCATCTCACCCTTCTACTTGCTGTATTTGACACAGCCACTAATCTGAACTGCATTTAGCTGTCTCGAAAGATTTGTGATCAGAAATCAACAGTCAGGACTTGGTTTGGAGGTGGAAGAATAGAAACAAAATGTTAAGTGTTCACATCTAAGCTATTCCTCTTTAGAAAACAAGCCTTTCCAAAAGTAGAAGCAACCATAAGGCAAATGAGAGTTACTTTCACTAGAGGGAGTGTTTATAGAAGCTTTCTATTCAGTTTTAATTAGTTAAGTGTTATGTATGCCTGGAAACCAGTGCATAACAAGTGTTATATATGTTGGAGCCCCCAGCATAAGAAGGGTATCAACTGGTTGGAGCAAGCCCAGAGGAGGCCATGCAGATGCTCCACGGGCTGGAGCACCTCTGCTATGGGGACAGGCTGAGAGAGTTGGGCTTCTTCAGCCTGGAGAAGAGAAGGCTCCGGGGAGACCTTATAGCACCTTCCAGTACCTGAAGGGGCTACAAGGAAGCGGGGGGGGACTTTTTACAAGGGCCTGTAGTGACAGGACTAGGGTAACAGGTTTAAATTGAAAGTGGGGAGGTTTAGATTAGATATCAGGAAAAAATTCTTCATGGAGAGGGTGGTGGGGCACTGGAACAGGTTGCCCAGAGAAGCTGTGGATGCCCCATCCCTGGAAGTGTTCAAGGCCAGGCTGGATGAGGCTCTGAGCAACCTGGTCTAGTGGAAAGTGTCCCTGCCCATGGCAGGGGGGTTGGAACTAGATGGTCTTTAAGGTCCCTTCCAACCCTAACCATTCCGTGATTCTATGGAACGGTTACGGAGCTAGGCAAGTTTGTGGGTTCACTCATTCAAACTCACTTCCATGATGATTCACTTTTTAATTTGGCAAATGCAAGCATTAGGGGCTCACTTTCCCCATGGGGATCATGGGATCACCACATCCCACAACAAATAAAACCACGTCTGGCCCTGTTTTGAGCTGTCCAAACTAACTGCTTGGGAGTTAGCCGGATCATCTGATTTCACTACTTAAAGCACCACTCAAAGAGGTGGATAGTCTACTGGATCAGACGTACACGTACGCAGTCTAGGGAGGCCACCAACCAGAGCTAAGCACCTACCAGCTTGATTTCAAAATGCCATGCAAAATTGCATCTTCCATTTCAGTGACAAAGAAAAAGCTATTTATTAGAAGTAAGTAACATTTTGGATGTTTTTTTAGTAACATTCTGTAAGTACTAAATACCTAGCACACCTTCCACCACTTAGCAAAGCTGGTCAGCCATAAGCTCACGCCTAAGTAGTGTACTGTTTTGTACCCGACTCACAGACTATTTATTAGAAGTAAGTAACATTTTGGATGTTTTTTTAGTAACATTCTGTAAGTACTAAATACCTAGCACACCTTCCACCACTTAGCAAAGCTGGTCAGCCATAAGCTCACCAACATCAGTAAAAAAACTAACAGAATCAAAAAATAGTTTACCAGGTCTCAATTTTTATTATGCACATCTTCTCCTCCTAATCACATCCCAAAGCTTTCTTATTTTACACCAGAAATTTGAGAAATTTTTGTAACAATTTACATACAGTGAGCTTCCATCAAGCCTAACACTCTACTGCCATAAGCAGGTCACGTAACTACATGAAGTATTTCACTCTGTCAAGCTGAAGCCAGTCACCCTGAACAGCAACACGCGTGTCAGCGACGAGAAACGTGTAGGAAATGAAAACAGGCTGCAAAACAAGGCTTTCAAAATTGATACTGAGCTTGACTCTCTTGCCCCTTGAAAATCAATACCAAGGAGGCCAGAATGAAGTAGCCCTATACCCCAGTGTCCTTCTCAAGTTACTGAGATGCAGCTTAAGCTGGAAAAGAACTACAAGGGGCTCCTATGAGGATCTGTTTTCTCAGTTGGCCTTTTTTTTTGTGAACTGCACTTTTGGGACTCAGACTGGTCTGTCCTCTTGTGGCTTTTCAACTCATAATTTAAGAATAGAGAAATCCTTCTGAAACTTCACCCTGAACAGAAGCTGAATTGGAGACTTGGAAAGAGCCATTTGGAAACAGCAATATTATTAAACTCATATTTAAACATGTCTAAACCATGTAGCATCAAGCCCTTTTGGTCTAATTCATACTTATGAAGTCACATTCATGTACAATTACCAAGTCTGTAGGCTCATCTTCTTCGACTTCAGCTTCATCATCTTCATCTTCAACAACAGTATCTTCCACAGCTTCCTCATCTTCTGTAGCATCTTGAGCTGCAACTAACAGACCTGAACCTACCAAACCAAAATGCAAACACAAAGAAGCTTTTTAGCGACTGGTTACCCAACAGAAAACTGGCATTGCAGTACAATCTGAAAACTACTGCTTGAAGAATTTCTTTAAAAAACTGTCAAATAGATTTTTGAAGCCTCATTTGCAAAAGCCTCAGATTGAAATGACTGTGTGTTGACCTTTCAGCCTTTTTGCTTCTCTAATAACTTTCTAACTACTCACCTCCAGCAAGTTCAAAACAAGTAAGTTTACTGCACGAAGTTCAGCATTCACCCAGCAGTGCTTAAGTTTGCAGAAGGGAAACGACTTGCCTTAACAGCTACGGTTTAATTTTTTAACATGTCAACACATGAAAATACCTTAACTTTGTCATTATAAACGTGAAAATAGTAAATAAATTCCCTGACAGCAGCAAAGCACTGTTTCTTCTAAGGCTAGTAAGTTTAAATCAAAGATTAGCACACCCTTTTCATCTGCTGGCATCAGAACACTAGACTTTCACACGTGGTTAAAAAGTTACATTTTTGCATTTATTTTCATTCAAGTTTTAAAACATAAAGAAGATTTTTTTTAATATGATCTCCATATCATACACTACTATATCCATATGTTTAACAGAGCCGGAACGCAAGTCAGAAAAGATGCCTCATCTAGAGCATGGCTCCAGAGCAAGGCTCCCAGGCAAGTCATAGAATCACAGAATGGTTTGGGTTGGAAGGGACCTTAAAAACCATCTAGTTCCAACCCCCCTGCCATGGGCAGGGACACCTTCCACTAGACCAGGTTGCTCAAAGCCTCATCCAGCCTGGCCTTGAACACTTCCAGGGATGGGGCATCCTCTGGGAAACCTGTTCCAGTGCCTCACCACCCTCTCTGGAAAAAACTTCTTCCCGCTATCTCATCTAAACCTCCCCACTTTCAATTTAAACCCATTACCCCTTGTCCTGTCACTACAGGCCCTTGTAAAAGTCCCCCCCAGCTTCCTTGTAGCCCCTTCAGGTACTGGAAGGTGCTATAAGGTCTCCCCAGACTCTTCTCCAGGCTGAAGAAGCCCAACTCTCTCAGCCCCATAGCAGAGGGGCTCCAGCTCTCTGAGCATCTTTATGACCTCCTCTGGACTCACTCCAACTGGTCTATATCCTTCCGATGCTGTGGGTTGCCTCTTTGCTTTCATGGAGCAGAGTCTCACACACTGAAACACTGGGCAGCTATGATAAACACACATATTGGCCACAGGACAAATCTGTGTCTGTCTGCAGTTTAGAGCACACGCAGTCTAGGCTGAGCACTTTTAAAACATATACACAAAAATGACAATTTTTTTTCTTTTCATAAACCTAACATTTGCCAAAAAATGAAGGAACAGAAACAAAGGGATGATTGGTTTACACAAGCCTGGAGAGGGAAAAAAAAAATCGAAATTGCTATGAATACACATTTAAAAACTTTCAAGGGGAAGAAGAAATCTTGAGCAAGACAAATTTATCCAAGGATTTCAGGATTGTAGAGCTAGAAAAAGGAAATTCAACCCTTCCTCTCAAGTGCCTTTAGAAGGTACGCTCAAAGGCTGCTGCTCCACCACGTGCATTACTCAACCTGAGACTTACTACACTGATTTTATTTGCTCAAATTTTAAACCTGCGAGTCTACAAAGAAAGACATTTTAAATTAAAACTTCTGCACCCGAACAGGGTACAGGTAAGTTACAGCCACTCCTCACAAGCAGCGCGCCAGCACGTTCTCCCAGACCGCTGATTTGCAGTCTTCCCAATGGATGTCAGGGGCTGATGATGTGGCAACAGCGGGAACGGAGAGCTGCCCGCTGCGGGGAGAAACTGACACGCAGCAGCCTGCGCCGCATCCCACTGGAAGAGCAGGGCCAGACGGCTGCTCCTCTGCCTTGCCAGGCTTGGGAGCGAGGAGGCAGTTTCCCGGCCGTGAATCAGACGGCGCGGTAGCGCAAACAGAGA